GCTTGATTTCGAGGACAAAATCCTTTTAAGTTAGGGAGATTGTAATGTCCTGGATTTTTTCAAAATGTTTTAGAATTTAATTTAATTTATTTTATTTTCTATGCATCGTTTTGCGTGTCATGTGGGACCCTGTACTTTTATTGCACGTGTTTATTTATTTGGGTTATGTGTTGTATTTATATGTGTGTGTTGTGTGTGTGTGTGTGTGTGTGTGTGTGTGTGTGTGTGTGTCTCTATGTGGTTGGTTAAGGGGAGAGATATTATGTGGCATGTGTGGGATTGTTTTATGGAGGATGGCAATTTTAGTAGGTCAATAATGGAAGACCCAATGAGAGCCACACATTTTGTAAAGCTAAGAATAAGCCTTGGACTACTCATCATCACCCACCTTCATTTTCCCTCTCTCATTGTCATCACACTCTCTCTCTCCTGTATTTCTTTTTTTTTTTTTCCTTTTCTTCTCTCTACCTTCTCTCTAAGATCTTGCCTTCATGAGTGAGATTTATGAGAAGCCATAGTTAGAAAAAGTGTTGAGCTTATAAAGGGCTACATTTTGACACTAGTCTTGCATGTAGTTGGTGGATTTTGAGTTTGGATCTTGAACTTGGGTTTCTTGATTTGAGGTAGGGAAGTATAAACTACAAAGTCTTTAATCTTTGTGAGTCTTTTATTATATGTATTTGATGAAAAGCATGATGCATATGTGAAGGTGTTATTAATTGCACGTTGATGTTCTTGAGATAATATTTTCCTTACATGATTCAAGCTATCAATGTGATGATTTAATGTGTTTGATTTAAAGCATACTCTAATGATGATGTATTGCGTTGATTTCCTTAAGAAATGTTAATGTTAGCATGCATATCATGGACATTGGTTGGGTTATGGGTTAGAAAGGATGTTTTAAATGGTTTCCAACGGTCTTGTAAAAGTTAATTTTTGAAAGGTTTTGAAATGGTTTTGTAAAAATGGACATTATAGAGTCACCATGTGGTCCGAGGTTAACCAATCTAGAAAGGGGCACGAGACGGTTTGGTCATGTGTAGTTGAACTACCTAGGCCTCAAATGTCACTATAAAGATGCCCTAGGTCAGGGATAGTTAGTCAATTCTCTTCGTGATGCCTAGGAGACGCTTAGGGTCGGGTTGTGTTAACATTTTTGGTGTAGGTTGTATTATAATGGAAATGGTTTTGGAAATGGGGAGAGTGCATTTCATGGCATTCCATTTCATAGTTTGTGAGGCATGGAAATTAGATTATGTTGTATGCTTTATTTTCCCCATTATATGATCCCTTTCTCTTTTATTCTACGCTTTGGGTGTGATTCATAGGATTACAAGAGGTGTATTTTAGGCTATCTCTATTGAGCCATTGTGCTCACCCTATATTCTAACATTTTCAGGAAATGACAAGGATGTCGTAGATAAAGCACCCCCGAAGCTTAGTTGTGTAGCTTGATGATTATTTTTGTATCTTTTGTAAAGGCATTTTTTTTGGATATTTTATAACATGTAATGACCTTATTCTTTTGCCGGCTTCAGGAGAAGTCGTTGTATTTGTGGCCATAGAGGCCTTGATTTGTAGTTATATTATTTTGGATCTAATTTTATCATTTAACGATGTATGAATGTTCACATGGGGATTTAATGATCAATGATGGATACTAGATGATATTTGATGATTCCAAGCAATGGTTGTATGTTAAATGATGTTTATGGGGTTTAATTTTCATGTTGTTTGCCTTTGGATTGCATTGAAATAGGTTCGGGAAATGATCTAAACGATTACATAGGATTTGGGGACCATCTAAATGGTTAGATGCTCCTATCTGAACATTTAGATGGCCTTGGTTGTGAGCAATTTTGGCTAGATCCCTCATCTGTGTGCACAAATCCTCTGAAGTGTGCGAACAGATGAGCATCTGCGCGCACATATCATCTCATGTCTGCACATAGATCCCTTCATGTGTGCCCATAGATGGTTCCTACAGTTTGTTGTCTTCACTGGAATGCTGTTCTAAATGATAGGATGATCCAAGTGTGCACACAAATGGTCCAGTATTTGTATTTTGACCCCAGACTTCAGTATAGTTACATATTTACCCTTGGACTTGACTTTAATAATTGAATGACCCTAGTAAATGATAGATTTACCCCTTTTTGAGTCCTAAGCCATATATAACCATGCCAAATGACTATTTTACCCTTGGGGACTCTAGAATCACTATATTAGTAGGAAATGACTATAGTACCCTTATGTGGCATTGGGTTCGGGTAAGGTCCCGAGTAGCGATCTGGATCTCTAGATGTGGGTCATTACGTACAAAAATATACTAAAACAAGTGTAGAACTATAATGATCATCATATTTAAAAAATAAGGAATAATCAGCTCTAGACCGAGATTATCCAGCAGAGCACAAGGATTGAGAAAATTTAGCGAACCAATTGCAACTCACTTGTGTGAGTATATATAAAGACCGACCTGCGTTGATTGGCTAGATAAACTTAACATGATTCTTTCTGAGGACGATGGTATCTTTTAGATGAACTCTAGTACTAGCAATAGGAACTGGATTCCTCATGACGAGGACTCTGTTGCTTGGTTGCTAATCGAAGTAAAGGATTGTGTTTTGGCTCAGACCTCATATGTACTTTTGGAGTAGCCTCTATTGTTGTGGCTGGATTTATGGGGTGAGAAACTGAACGATTCTAAATTGGATGATAGGGTAGAGTCTCGAACTGTATGTGGGTCTGTTGTTGCTGCCTAGAAATCAAAATTCCAATTTCAGTGCCTATTGATGCTATGGGACTTGTTTCCAACAAGTATATGGGTGTAAACCACCCTAAGTAGGGAAGTCATATAGTCATGGACTGTGCTTTGTTGTCTATCTTGTTTCCATTTGACCATATCTTGTAGTTTATGATTAGGTTATCTTTTTTTTTTCTTTTTTTTTTTTTTCTTTTTTTTTTTTTTTTAAGGATTTTGTGAGAATGTGATGATATGTTTTTCTTTGTTTATACATGAGTGACATTGATTTCTCTTAAGTTCACTATATCTTCATAAATACAAATTGAGACAAATACTTATTTAATGAAAAAAATTCTCCATGTGTAATCTATACTAAGAGAAATTAATTGCTATTTTTATTGATCTATTTTTAAAGATAAGGTTCTTAAGGCTATACTTTTATAGTGCACTAGTTCAATAATGAGAAAATTAATTAAAAATCATTGTGAGATTGAATGGGTCATTTTACTCTTAAAAACTATAAGGATTATTGCTAAAAAATATGGAGCATATGTTCATATATATATATCAGGACGAAAAGAAAAAAGAGAAATCAATAGACTGGTGAAAAATCAAACAAGTTTAATAGAGATTTTCATAATTTAAGCCTCTGTGCCTAGGTTACCTAAGGGTTTACTCACTCGGGCCACTCCAACCTTTTACCACGCGTTAGTGACATGAGAATCAGAAGTGCCCTTTATAGACAAATATATAAAGAAGTACAAATTTATCATGTGAGTTGTAACATTTAAAAAATTCATACCTGTTTGGACATTCATGCAATGTTCTTGTCATAACCATTCACCATAGATTCCTCGTTCAATTCAAAAACAATTCCATAAGATAGTTATGATAAATATGACATGTAACTCACTTAACTATTTTTTTTTTTCCACTTGCTTATCTAAATGGTAAGACATGGACCTTATAATAAAAATAATAATTAAGAACCATTAAGCATGATGGAAGATGATTTAAACAATTGACTAGAAAGTGGCCAAGATAATTTATGAGTGTGAAACTTTGATAATGCATTAAAATGGATAAACTGAACGACTTTTTTATTTTTATTTTTATTTTTTAAGTTAGAATACACGTGTAACCCTTGTGTCCGAATTGTGAAATCATATCAACAACCATTGATAGTAGAATAAGTTTTTACAATCACTTGATCAAATGACTAAGCTCACGTGAGACTACCCTCACAACAAAATTTCCTTTTCACATGCTCTCGCACATAAGCCAGGAAAGAGTTATAAATGAACTAGACAAAACGTTTTTATCTTTTTCTTATCATATAATTTGTTATTTACTTCAACAAAATATTAGCCACATAAACAATAAATTTTTATTTTATTTTTCTTTGCATAAACAGTAATTGACAGCAACGTAGATATGAACTATTGATGGTGCACTAAGAGCAAAATGAGAAACGTCTAAGTACAAATAAGAGCAATAAAAACGTGACTGGGAGAGCTGTATTTTTTATCATATCGGTATAACATGATAATATACAGTTATATCGTTTTATCAGTACTGTTTTTATCGTGTAAAATGATTTTGGTGCACAGAACCTTGCATACTTGGGCCTATAAATAGCAACCCTAGCGAGGCTGAGATCTGCATAAACGGTCTATCACAAGCTTGTGAGTGTTGTGGTTTATTCAACCATATAATCTAGCTTTCATTTCATATTTTCTTGTACGAAAATCTTTTGAATTTTTTTTTTTTTTTTTTTTTTTTTTTTTATTTCCTTGAAATAATTACACAGTTAATAATAAAGTTGGTAGGATTAATATTTTATTCGATTTATTTTGTCTATGTTTTCAGTAGATTCTTTCTTTTGACTTTTAAAACACAGTTCATTAATATTTTATAAGTATTTTTTATTTTGTTTTTCTTTAGAGCAAGTCAACAAATCTAGTGGGAGTGCTCTCACTTAAAAAGAAAAATTAAAAAAAAAAATGTTAATTTAGATTTTCACCTTAATATAGTTTCTGATTATCTGAATTTGCAGATACAAGGTACAAATATATATGGCTTCCGACATGAGCAAAATTATCAGGTTTTCTCTACGTACTTGTCAATATTTCATTTATAATAATCTCTTATGAGGAACTGCAATTGTCTCTTCGTACTCAAATGAAGAAGTTATAATTATACTTAAAAGCGTGGATTGATGGAAATGGGGGTGGGTGGGGGGGGGGGGACGGACCTGTTTGGTTCAGTTTTTTATTCTTCAAAAATTTTAAAAAAAAAAAAAAAAAAAAAAAAAAAGAAGAAAAAAAAAAGTTTGGCTGACAGTTTTTATTTTGAGAATTGTTTTATGTGCTCAATTGACGTATTTAGAGGAGTGTCGTAGGGATACTTACGTGAGTCCTTCTCACGAGAGGTCCTATGGCTTTGGTTGAAGAATGATTTGATGAAAAAATATATATTTTTTCAAAGAACCATTTTTATATTATGTTGAAAACAATTTTTTGAATTCTTGAGAGCTATTTTGAGAAAACTAAATCAAACTATTTCATTCCTTTCTTTTCTCTCTATAATTTTTTCCAAATACAGTTTAAGAGTTTTTCTCTTATAATTAATATTATTATTATTTTTTTCCACTCTCTTTTTATAATATAGAGAAAAAAATGACTCTATCATCACGGTAATTTTAAAAATATGACTACTGACCCTTCGTGCAATTTTTCGGATTGCAGACCTTTGAATGGGACAGCTGTGGACGAATTTGATACAATTGAGAGGATCAAAAGGGGGTTTATGCAATTCAAGACCAACGAATTCGAGTATGTTAATATATAATTATTTGTCTACATATATTACAACATGTTCTATTAAGCCAACTAATTGTCTAGTCCTACAAAGAACTTTGATCATCTGATTTACTCTACTTTGGATAAATTGTATTACCTAATTGCCTGAGGATCTGGCTGAGTTTTGCAGCAAACATCGAGAATATTACAATGAACTTGCAGAAGGCCAGAGCCCCAAGGTAATGCATGTTTTGTTCTTCTGCGCCGTCATTATTATTATTATTATTTTATTTGGAGTTCCATCAATTATGACTTACTGAACATTTAAAGTATGCTTACAAATATCACATTCTTTATGTACAAAAAATATCTCTAAAGTTTTAGTTTAATACAAATAGTTCTGACAAATTTAAACCTTAAATTGACTAAAATACATTTACTAAACCATTTTATAAAATATATAAAAATAAATAAATTTGTAAAATGACCGAAAAAACCACTATTGGAGGACGTCACTCACGTGCAAAAAACACCCCCAAAGTTTCAATCTGGTGCAAATAAGTTCCTCTCACAAATTTAAATCATAAGTTGACTAAATTACCGTTACTGAACCCTTTTATAAAGTATATACAAATAAATAATATTATAAAATGACCGAAAATAACACAATTAGAGGACGCCGTCAATAGACAAGTAAAGATAAAAAATAAAATAAAAATAAAGTATAAAAGAAAAGTAAAAATAAAAATAGAAAATAAAAAATGAAAATAAAGTGTAAACTAAAGCAAACAAATCTGCTTCAAACTCCGAAAACCAATGCACACTGATATTGGATTTTTTTTTTTTTTTTTTAATAGTCTTGCTACGAAAAAAATAAATAAAGAAAGAAAAATAAATTTTAGTAGAAAATAATAAACTGAAATCTCAAAAAATTCAAATATTTGGTCTTCAAATTCTCAAAGGTTAAAAAAAAAAATGTTTAGAGACATATATAGAGAAAAAAGTTTTTTAAAAAAACAAATATAATATGTACATAACACCTCTATCTTATGAGATTAGTAGCATGTATACCTCCTTAGACTTTTTCGGAAGAGTAAATGGACAAAACGGGTATTACAATATTAATTTATGTCAAATGGGGTATTTTTGCACAATGTGAAAAGATTATGGATGTTTTTTGCACACTTTTTTAAATAGGGGGTAAAAGTGCTTTGCGGAGTATACTTTATGAGTGTTTTCTTCACTTGTCCATAAACTTAAACCTTCTTGTATAACCTAAACTTTTCGAGTAGATGGTAGTTAACGTACATTGTATCTGAGAAGACATGTTCTAAGTTCAAATCTCACTATGAACCTCTAACAAATAAAAGTAAAATAACTTCTTTTTTAATAAATACTAGACGGTGGTTAACACCGTGCATTTCTAATGACTAATTTTTTAAAATTTGGTATGAATTTTTATGTTGCAGTTTCTGGTGTTTGCATGCTCGGACTCGAGAGTCTGCCCTTCTCATATCCTAAACTTCCGACCAGGTGAAGCCTTTATGTCACGGAATATTGCTAATATGGCCCCTGCATTTAACCAGGTGTTCAAATAGTGCAAAAATAAGATTATTAAAGTTGATTCAATCATTTATATTTTTAGTTCCCCTTTATCCACTTTATATTGTCTCACAACACACGTTCATAATGTGGAAATGTTTATCTACTACACAGGTTAGATATTCTGGAATTGGTGCAATCATTGAATATGCAGTCGCAATTCTTAAGGTCACTTTTTTATTCATCTTCCAAAATTCCAAACAATAATAACAATAAAAAATAAAAAAATCCTCTTTTTATTTATTTTCACATTTGTTCTAGAGGAATAACAAAGTCTCTAAATATAATGAAAATTTTTGTAGGTGGAGATTATTCTGGTAATAGGGCACAGTCGTTGTGGTGGAATTAAGGGTCTTATGTCTCTTCCGAGTGATGGAACAACTTCTAAGTAAGGATTCATATCTTTTTCCAATAATAGTTGCAACTTCATGCATGTGTATTTATTATAATTTTTTACTTCTTTTTTTTTCCCACATATTTAATTACCGAAAAATTAAAAAAAAAAAATTATACATGTTCTTTCCATTTGAACATTTTTCTTATTGACCTTTCAATTCAGTTCATATTTTCTTTCTAAATAACCTTTTTTTTGCGCATGTTTGATTGTGATGTGTGCAGTGACTTTGTAGATGACTGGGTCAAAATTGGTTTACCCGCCAAAGCCAAGGTGACATCAGAGCATAGCGATTTACCACTGGAGGAACAATGCAAGATTTGTGAAAGGGTAACTCTCAATTTTACCAAACATACTTCTGCTGATTTGATGACAAAATCCGTTACCAAATGTCAGTGACGAATAAGAAAATTATATAAAAAGGGACTGTCTTATAAAAATAAAAATAAAAATAAACAATAATATATAGTAGGGAGTCATTAAAAAAATAAGTGGGGGCATTTTTTATATTTTTACAAAATTTAAAGAAAAAAAATATATTAAACTATTAGTAAAGAAAGATTAAAAAGAAAAGATGATCTATCTATAAACCATTTTTACACAAACCCTTTTCAAACCCAATTGCACCATTGGATTTCAAACGAGTCTAGGGTGTTTAAAAGTAAAAATAAAATGATACTGATTGTGTCTGTGAATATGAAATATGCAGGAGGCAGTGAATTCGTCATTGGTGAACCTATTAACATATCCATATGTGAGAGATGGAGTAGCTAACAAAACTCTACAATTGATGGGTGGACACTATAATTTTTTCAGCAGACCTTTTAGCCTATGGGGTCTCGACTTCGGCTTCAAACCCCCTCTCGACTTCGGCTTCCCCTTAATCTGCCCTATGAAAATTTAACTTTTGACCATTATATGTCAAGACTTAAATTTCCTACTTTCTCTCTCTAAAAAGGGCTCAAATCCCCTACTGTGAGTTACCATACGGTCCCCTGCTGTGAGCTGATGAAAGGCCTTAGTTTGGCCACGTATGCTTCAGTTTGTAATATGTCTGTGGGCTCTACAAAAATGGTGCAAAACTCATTATTCCGTTAAATTTGCCTTCCGTTAACTTATGTGGTAATTTATTACATAAAAAGAAAAAACAAATACTCAAAAAGCTAACCCCAATACAATCTTAGAAAAGACGAACCCCTATAAAGAAAAGAAAACGGCGGCAAAGAACCCTATATTGTTTGGGTTTCGATCAAAGAAAGGAGAGTCAAAATTCAGCGTTTGTTGGTCGCGATCTTCGCTGGCCTTGGTTTGCTTGCCGTCAAATTCCGGCGCCGTGATTCTAGGTTCTTCTCTGGCCACGATTTGCTTCGCTATCTTCGCCGGCCTTAGTTCGTCAAATTCCGGCGCCTTGATTCTAGGTTATTCTCTGGCCACGGTTTGCTTCGGTATCTTCGCCGGCCTTGGTTTGCTTGCCGTCAAATTCTGGCCACGGTTTGCTTCACTATCTTATTAATATTGTGCATTTAATATATTGTTCATTTACAGTTAAATTTTTGTTTTGAACGGAACAATGTAGATTTAGAAAATTTATGATTCTTTCATTTATCATCGATCTGTCATTGTAATGAATGTAAAATCTTCCATAATTGATTTTTAGAACTGAATTGGCTTCAGTAGGTATGAATGTGTTATCAAAAAAATTGGTATGAAATGCATGCGGCAACCAAATCGGGGTGGAAACGAAAAAATGAAAAAATGCATAAAGGAGCCGGCTCCACTTTAAAGTGGAGCCGCCTCCACTACCAAGTAGAGCCGGCTCCACTTTGTAATTGAGCCTGCTCTATTTAGAGAATGCTCTAAATCACCTAGAGCAGGCTCCAATAAATATTAGAGCCTGTTCTAGGTGATTTATTAGACATTTCAGAGGTTAATATTTGAAATTTATGAGAAAAAAAAATTGCGAAATTTAACAAATATGAACTCTGATCACCTTCACCATCAAAATAAGCTATTGACACAGTTCTGTAAAACTAATTTCACACCTCTGTAAAACTAATTTGACACCTAAATTTAACATTTTTTAATTCTTTCATTTGTCATCTGTTAGTGTAAATTATGATATTTTTCTACTCGAAATTGACATTGGTTAAGCATTCTAGCATATTTGAAATGTTGGATAATTGTAGGATTTTTTTCTATAATCTTCTCTAGTGAATGTAAAATCTTACATAATTGTTTTTTTTAACTGAGTTGGCTTCATTAGGTACCAATTTGTTAACTTCGTAATTTTTTCTTCTCATGTATGCGGCAATTACACATTTCACAGGTTATTATGTGACATTTATGAGAAAAAATATATTGTGAAGTTTAATAAGTAGGGACACTGATTACCCTCCACTACCAAGTAGAGCCAGCTCTACTACAAAGTAGAGCCTGCTCCACTTTGTAATTGAGCCTGCTCTATTTAGAGAAGGCTCTAAATCACCTAGAATAGGCTCCAATAAATATTGGAGCCTGCTCTAGGTGATTTATTAGACATTTCAGAGGTTAATATTTGATATTTATGAGAAAAAAATATTGCGAAGTTTAACAAATAGGAACTCTGATCACCTTCACCATCAAAATAAGCTATTGACACAGTTCTGTAAAACTAATTTCACACCTCTATAAAACTAATTTGACACCTAAATTTAACATTTTTTAATTCTTTCATTTGTTATCTGTTAGTGTAAATTATGATATTTTTCTACTCGAAATTGACATTGGTTAAGCATTCTAGCATATTTGAAATGTTGGATAATTGTAGGATTTTTTTTTATAATCTTCTCTAGTGAATGTAAAATCTTACATAATTGTTTTTTTTTAACTGAGTTGGCTTCATTAGGTACCAATTTGTTATCCAAATATTTTTTCTTCTCATGTATGCGGCAATTACACATTTCACAGGTTATTATATGACATTTATGAGAAAAAATACATTGTGAAGTTTAATAAGTAGGGACACTGATTACCCTTCACCATCAAAATAAGCTATTTACACAGTTCTACTAAACAAATTTCACACCCCTGCAAAACTAATATCACACCTAAATTTAACATTTTTTAATTCTTTCATTTGTCATCCGTTAGTGTAAATTATGATTTTGTTTTACTTGAAATTGACATTGGTTAAGCATTCTAGCGTATTTGAAATCTTGGATAATTGTAAGATTTTCTTCAATAATCTTCAATAACCATTCTAGTGAATGTAAAATCTTCGGGCTCAAATCCCCTGCTGTGAGTTACCCTACAGTCCCCTGCTGTGAGCTGATGAAAGGCCTTAGTTTGGCCACGTATGCTTCAGTTTGTAATATGTCTGTGGGCTCCACGAAAATGGTGCAAAACGCATTATTCTGTTAAATCTGCCTTCCGTTAACTTATATGGTAATTTATTACATAAAAAGAAAAAACAAATAATCAAAAAGCTAACCCTATTGACAATCTGAGAAAAGACGAACCCCTGCAAAGAAAAGAAAACGGCGGCAAAGAACCCTAAATTGTTTGGGTTTCGATCAAAGAAAGGAGAGTCAAAATTTAGCGTTTGTTGGTCGCGATCTTCGCTGGCCTTGGTTTGCTTGCCGTCAAATTCCGGCGCCGTGATTCTAGGTTCTTTTCTGGCCACGGTTTGCTTGGCTATCTTCGCCGGCCTTAGTTCGTCAAATTCCGGCGCCTTGATTCTGGGTTCTTCTCTGGCCACGGTTTGCTTCGCTATCTTCGCCGGCCTTGGTTTGCTTGCCGTCAAATTCCGGCCACGGTTTGTTTCGCTATCTTCGCCGGCCTTGTTTCTATTTAGTTAAGTCGAATTTACTCTTTTTACTTATGCTCTTAGATGCTGCTGTTTTTCACGAATAAGAAGGTCACAGTTGTGATTACCATTGATATGATTTATTGTCTAAATTTTATCTGCATTTGTAAATTTAATTAAATCTTTACGACTTGCTTGTTGAATTCAGTTTTAATTTTTTTTACTACTGAGGCAAAATTGATTAAATTTATAATGGTGATGAAAAGTTCACCATTTAAAGTGTCAGAAAAATATAAGTAAATGTGGTGGTTGAGAAAACCTTTAGGATGAGTGATGGATTGCCCCTGAGAAGGTTATGAGTTGGTGAGAAAGAAAAGAGTAGTTCATAATTGAGTAGCTTTAACAAGTCGAGTTAATCAGGAGAACTAAGAATTTACTTGGAAAATATGATTCTGATCAGTTTATGTATCATGTATTGGTTTTTTTTTCGTGTTACTCTTACACATCAAGTTCCAAATTTTAATTTTATTCTGTCTGTAAGGTCATTCCACCAGTAGCTTAGGGGGCTCATTGTTTCTAGTATGTAAATAAAGATCCTTATTAGATTCAATCACAGAATATCAGTGTACTTGGTTTCTCAAGTACCCTAAATCACTTTGAAACTTGCTGTAAATCAAGACCAATCTCTCTCCTATGTTAGAATTAAATCTTTACAACTTGCTTGTTGAATTCAGTTTTAATATTTTTACTATTGAGGCAAAATTGATTAAATTTATAATGGTGATGAAAAGTTCACCATTTAAAGTGTCAGAAAAATCTAAGTAAATGTGGTGGTTGAGAAAACCTCTAGGATGAGTGATGGATTGCCCCTGACAAGGTCATGAGTTGGTGACAAAGAAAAGAGTAGTTCATAATTGAGTAGCTTTAACAAGTCGAGTTAATCAGGAGAACTAAGAATTTACTTGGAAAATATGATTCTGATCAGTTTATGTATCATGTATTGGTTTTTTTTTGGGTTACTCTTCCACATCAAGTTCCAAATTCTAATTTTATGCTGTCTGTTAGGTCATTCCACCAGTAGCTTGGGGGGCTCATTGTTTCTATTATGTCAATAAAGATCCTTATTAGATTCAATCACAGAATATCAGTGTACTTGGTTTCTCAGTACCCTAAATCACTTTGAAACTTGCTGTAAATGAAGACCAATCTCTCTCCTATGTTAGAATTAAATCTTTACAACTTGCTTGTTGAATTCAGTTTTAATATTTTTACTAGTGAGGCAAAATTGATTAAATTTATAATGGTGATGAAAAGTTCACCATTTAAAGTGTCAGAAAAATATAAGTTTATGTGGTGGTTGAGAAAAGCTCTAGGATGAGTGATGGATTGCCCCTGACAAGGTCATGAGTTGGTGACAAAGAAAAGAGTAGTTCATAATTGAGTAGCTTTAACAAGTCGAGTTAATCAGGAGAACTAAGAATTTACTTGGAAAATATGATTCTGATCAGTTTATGTATCATGTATTGGTTTTTTTTGTATTACTCTTCCACATCAAGTTCCAAATTTTAATTTTATTCTGTCTGTTAGGTCATTCCACCAGTAGCTTGGGGGGCTCATTGTTTCTAGTATGTCAATAAAGATCCTTATTAGATTCAATCACAGAATATCAGTGTACTTGGTTTCTCAAGTACCCTAAATCACATTGAAACTTGCTGTAAATGAAGACCAATCTCTCTCCTATGTTAGAATTAAATCTTTACAACTTTCTTGTTGAATTCAGTTTTAATATTTTTACTACTGAGGCAAAATTGATTAAATTTATAATGGTGATGAAAAGTTCACCATTTAAAGTGTCAGAAAAATCTAAGTAAATGTGGTGGTTGAGAAAACCTCTAGGATAAGTGATGGATTGCCCCCGACAAGGTCAAGAGTTGGTGACAAAGAAAAGAGTAGTTCATAATTGAGTAGCTTTAACAAGTCGAGTTAATCAGTAGAACTAAGAATTTACTTGGAAAATATGATTCTGATCAGTTTATGTATCATGTATTGGTTTTTTTTTTGTGTTACTCTTCCACATCAAGTTCCAAATTTTAATTTTATTCTGTCTATTAGGTCATTCCACCAGTAGCTTGGGGGGCTCATTGTTTCTAGTATGTCAATAAAGATCCTTATTAGATTCAATCACAGAATATCATTGTACTTGGTTTCGTAGTACCCCAAATCACTTTGAAACTTGCTGTAAATCAAGACCAATCTCTCTCCTATGTTAGAATTAAATCTTTACAACTTGCTTGTTGAATTCAGTTTTAATTTTTTTTACTAGTGAGGCAAAATTGATTAAATTTATAATGGTGATGAAAAGTTCACCATTTAAAGTGTCAGAAAAATATAAGTAAATGTGGTGGTTGAGAAAACCTCTAGGATGAGTGATGGATTGCCCCTGACAAGGTCATGAGTTGGTGACAAAGAAAAGAGTAGTTCATAATTGAGTAGCTTTAACAAGTCGAGTTAATCAGGAGAACTAGGAATTTACTTGGAAAATATGATTCTGATCAGTTTATGTATCATGTATTGGTTTTTTTTTTGTGTTACTCTTCCACATCAAGTTCCAAATTTTAATTTTATTCTATCTGTTAGGTCATTCCACCAGTAGCTTGGGGGGCTCATTGTTTCTATTATGCCAATAAAGATCCTTATTAGATTCAATCACAGAATATCAGTGTACTTGGTTTCTCAAGTACCCTAAATCACTTTGAAACTTTCTATAAATGAAGACCAATCTCTCTCCTATGTTAGAATTAAATCTTTACAACATGCTTGTTGAAT